TGACATGTTAAAATGGAACTCTGCATACATTATCCTACAGATAGGAAAAAAAATAGCATACAGGTGTATACCAAAACAATAGCAGTGATTACCATCATCAAAATGTTTGTTTAATATAAACCTTTGCAACATTTGCAAAAAAATGGACTTGGAATAGATTACAGAACTTTCAACAGATTTGATATATTTTTTTTATGAAACAATGTTTGGCATTAGCATGCAAGAAAATGTGTGCTTAGCAGGATTATATTTTCCCCAGTGAATGTTATCCGAGTCAGAATATATTAGAATAGTTTTATTCATATGACTTTTTCACTATTCAAACTGAGAACAAGGTAATATGGAAATGATTCCTATGCAAGTAAGCCTTTAGTCAAACTATTCTATTTGTGCAGAAGAAATGCATGTTATTGAGGGAAAAAATTAAAATAGAATGTTCACAACACTAAAAAAAGTTTTTGCAATTTGTAAAATTTAAAAGCATTTTGACTTGAATATTGAAAGGCTTTCCACAGCTGTGTGTACAAATGTGTAGCAGATACTGATTCCTATAAATGTATTTGGGAGGGAGGAAAATTTATTTCACCTCATGAACAGAATTTCTTATTTATGCTTAGGAACTTGCTATGTAACTTGATATCTTTTCTAGCAAACCAACTTATTTTTAATGTGGAATGTATTTCGTGTGTTTTTATTAAAGCGGACAAAAATAAAATAGGTAAATTTGCCTCTGCTGTCACTGCACGCAGAAACGTTGAGGGATAAAGGTTAATTTTTCAATTATTCGACTGTCCCTTTGTTCTGTGTGTTTCACAATGATTAATTGTGTTCTGTTTCTTTTTATTAGCAGAGACTAGTGATGTAGACCCAGATACTCTAAAGGCAAACTCTCAGGGGTTTATTGGATGCCTCTCTTCAGTGCAATTCAATCATGTTGCTCCCTTGAAGGCTGCTGTCCACTATCCCAGCTCAGCTCCAGTCATTGTGAAAGGACATTTCATGGAATCAAACTGTGGGACATTATCAGGAGCTGATACAACATCAAGTGAAACAACCCATTCATTTGCAGGTACCAAGCATAAGGCTTTCATTAATTTCATTCTCTGAAAAAGAATACTTGACCATATTTCAGAAATTCAGTCATTTTTTTCATATGCCAAAAGTGCATATATTGAGGCTTTCCTCAATTTTTGTCATTTCCTATCTTGTATCAGGGGTGAAATACTACTGGTTCAGGCCAGTTTGCCCAAACCAATAGTAAAAAATGTTACCAGTTTGCCTGAACCGGTAGAAAAAAAATGCTAAAAATTGTGCGGTACAGCTGATTGTCTCACAGCTAATTGTCGGAACTTTTAAAAAACTTTTTAAAACATTTTTTACTATTGGTTTGGGCAAACTGGTA